GTAATTGGCACTAAACTCTGAAAATTGTTCTGACGTGATTAATTCATAAAGCTTTAAAGAAAATTTTATTTTCCTGTCCCAAGCAAATTTTATTATAATGTTTACGTGTCCCTATATGTTTTTAAGCAAAATTTTGTACTCATACATAAGTCATATGAGTGAATAAATTTATTTATATTTCATAATTTTTACTAAATAATAAGAATATTTTTATCATTGTACGGTGTCGTTTTGATTTATTTTTATTATACATATCATATCCCCAATTTTTTATTTAAAATATTTGGTATACTTCAGTTATGGTACTTTATAAATTATTACGAAGCTCCAATTATCTATACATATAATAAATCTGTAGAAAAATTGTGTTCACGATTAACGCAAAAACTACTGTACAGATTTCTATGAAATTTAGTAGTTAGGCAGTAAATGATCTTGAACATATAGGCATCTTCTTTTTCGCTTACGGAAGAGATAAAAAAGTTTATGTTTTTCCTTTTTTTTTTAGTTTTTTGTAATATTGTCTGCTGATGCTTCTATTAGTCCTAAAAAGGATTTAGCTATGTGTATAATAAATCTATAGAATAGCGTGTGTGTGTGTGTGTGTGTGTGTGTGAAATCGCTAGTTTTTAATAAACTAGTTTTATAAGTAAATAAATTTGATGAAGAAGGTTTCGATTTTTCTAAACGAAAAATTACCATTGTTATACTTCAATAACTTGTATATACCACTCGTATAATGGTAAGGTAGTATAATAAATTAGGTGTTATAATTTTTTACAACGCTTTCACCAAAAATCAAAACCAATTTACCGTATATTACAATTACAAAATATCAAATCAAATCGATATATTGTGGCTGCCTATTTTATAGATAAACATTTACATGTATCTTCTATAAAGAATCAAAATGCAGATGCGATGTCATCCCTGAAGACCACGATGGAATACCCCGTTTTCCAGTGAGAAGGGTTTTCGGTTCTGTACACTCACAATCGTATGAAACGCAGCAGCATTGAGATGTTGTTTTGAGTTGGTATACTGTGAGAGTGTGATTCTTTTCCGGTCGAGCCGACCCATACGTACTACAACCATAATATAATATAGCTTTAGCGTGGCTCTACGTACCAATAAATCTTCCTTCCATTTAAATTTACTACCGTTATACGTCCTACTGCTGGGCACAGGCCTCCTCTCATTTCCTAAAGGATTTTAGGGCAAGAAAATGTCCGCAGAGCTGCCCTAATGCGTATTGGAAAACTTCACGTGTTTTCGAATTTGTTTTCTTAATTCTCAGACATGCAGATTTCCTCACGATGTAATCATTCACCGCCGAGGACGTGGTAAATCATCACTTAAAATTTCAATTAACAATTTCATTGGTATCGGCGGGGATCGAACCCAGGTTGCTCGCGTACTGTGAAATTTACAGCGAGTGCTTAGTCCCTGAGCTACCACGGCTCTCTGAGCTAGTTAGGCTTAGTTGAGATGACGTAAATGTTTTTTTTTTTCATTTAAAAATTGTAAATATAAAAAAAATACGTTTGAATTTAACGTGAATAAATGGTGGCAGGTCGAGTTCAATTATTCTACGTAACTAGGTATGTTTTCCTCGGCTAACCAGTTAGAGGGACGGTATAAAAATTGCTTTTCATGTAGCTTATAAATTTCAACGTTTAAAAATTCAAGTACGATGTATTTTTGTTGATTAAAAACTTACCATCTTATTTTTTTATTTTTACATCTAAATATATTTTACTGTTTCATAACAAAACGTATTAGTGTTAAAATTAATATCGACCTGATCGATTTTAACTGTCCACTGAGTTTGCTCGTAATTTTTTAATTCTATATTCACATTTGTCTGTCTTATTTGCTATGATTTAAAGTTAAAACAAGTCTTCCATTTTGTCGAAATCCGCATGGATTAGTCAAAAATTACTTTGCATGTTCAGCATAAATTAGGGTCGCTTTGAAATGCCCTACGTCATAAATTTTCCAACGGATATTTATGGTGTTAGGATTGAAAAACGAGTCAGTTTATTTTTTATAGAATAAGGGTGACAAGCGAGCACACAGCCCATCTGATGGTAAGTGGATGCTGTGGTTCATAGACATCTACATCTATCCTCGATTAAGAAACAAGAAGATGCGTAGTCACCCCTGAGGACTAAGATGGAATGCGGTTCTCTACACTCACCATATGAAACACGGCAGCAATAAGCTGCTATTTTACGCTGGTATCCTGTGAGAGCGTGGTCCTTCCCCGGTCGAGCCCAACCCATTCGTGCTACAACTATAATATAGCCGCAACATGGCTCTTCCACATTTTTAAGAGACTTGTTCATTTAAAAAATAACTTCGGAATATCCTGGGATAGAACTAATATTACGGATTTTATCGCGTGGTCTATCAAATCTGATATAATGGTTGGGATGATCCTGAACATGTTGTCATACTGCAGTCATCCCGGAGCGTTTGTTCTTAACATCAGCGATATATTATTTTACGCGGATTCTTATGGATCCTTTTGTTTGTCCTATGTAAAAGAGACCACATTCACAATCAAGCTTGCACACTCCTGCATCAAACTGCATATTATAAAGTGCAAACTGCAAAGTGCCGTCGAAATAATAATAATTTAATTTAGACGCTATAATATCCGTAATACTAGTTTTATTCCAGGTGTAGTATTCGCGTAAATATAAGAAATCATTTCGGAACATCCTTTTAAATTTTAACTTTAATCATTATCACTTGTAGGATTTTCAAATACTGCAGGGAACAAATTTTTTACGTGGTAGAGCCCTGCTACAGCTATATTAGCAGTATAGCACGAATGGGTCGGCTCGACCGGGGAAGGACCACGATCTCACAGAATACCAGCGCAAAATAGCAACTCAACGCTGTGTGTCGTATGGTGAGTGTAGAGAACCGGAGACCCTTCTTACTGGAAACGAGCCATTCTATCTTAGTTCTCACGGGTGACAACGCATCTGCATTTTGATTTGTAATAAAGGATAGATGTAGATGTATAGACATCACATAACATAAACGTGTTATAGCCCATAGGGGCCGCAGCAACCATTTACCATCAGGTGGACTGTGTGTTCGTTTGTCACCCTTATGCTATAAAAATAAAAAATAACACATAATTGTACATTGTGCGTAACATGAATAAAAAACACGGCCAACACATAATGGTTCTGGGTATTTTTCTGTATGTTTATCCATGTACGTTACGTGTGTAGTACGCCTCCTCCAGGATACAAGAGGAATTCCTAACAATGTAATGTAAGAGTATAACATTTAAAAACGGAAGAAAATATAGAAAAATCTTACACATTCCGACAGATGGCGGTACAACCATCTCGTTTCATGCATGCACTAATTCCGTAATAAATATGTCATTGATTAAGTCTAGAAAGTTTGCTTAGATTTTGATCCTGCGTTAGAAATAAATGAGTATGGAATTCCGTTTATTCCTGGTGACGAATCTTTAAGGTGTTGAACAACCAATTCAAATTCTTCATTGGAGAAAAGTTCATTAAAACGTGAATTATTAATGTTTACTCCAGGTTGGGTTATCAATGGTTCACAATAACATAATTCCTCAAAGGAGGGAACCCAAGGAGGAGCAAGTTTATCGGCAAATAAATTGTACCAAATAGAGGAATCACATTGCGGTGAATAATTATCAACGTTATATGATCCGCGGAATTTCTTTATATTCTTCCATAATATAGAAGCAGGAGAGCGGGGTGAAAGATTTTCACAAAACCTAAGCCAACCCGTCTTTTTTTTATGTGCTAACAGTTTTAATGTATGGGCAGCTATTTTTTTATAATTTAAAAAGTTTTCAATAGACATATTGGAGGAGTATAGACGTTCAGCTTGTTTTCGTGTTCGTTTTTAACACTGAGTGTGCATTCCTCATCCCACCATGGGGGAGAACAAATTTTGGTAGGGGGCGAAATTTTTCGTGTGAAACATGAATCTGCGGTGAGTAAAAGATACTTAACAAAGTTTTTGTAGTTAGTCTCTATATCATTAGAGTCACTGTTATAAAATTTAGAGAGTACCGAATCTGATAACGATGAGAATTTAGCCCAGTCCGCTCCTTTTATATTATATTTTAACAGCGGAGAAAAAACTCTGATTGGTATTGAGCAGTTGGCTAATGAAAGTAATATTGGGTAATGATCACTACCATATGAGTGAGATAAAACTTTCCAATTAATACGTGATGTAAGATTTGGGGTACATAAAGTTAGATCAACAACACTTTTAGGATTTTGAGATGGATATACTCTCCTTGTTGGTGATCCATCATTTAAAATGCAAATATTAAATTCATCAAACGATTCCATTAAGAGATAGCCAAAAGTATAATTTCTGCATGAGCCCCATGAGACATGGTGAGCATTAAAATCACCTAGTAATATAAAAGGAGGAGTAATATGTTTAATGGTGGTCTTGCTGAACTATTGCACTGTTGAACTGTTGAACTAATTTGGGTACTATAGAGGTTACAATAAAACACTATGTACTTGATCTGAATTCTTCCTTTTAATATTTGATTTATTTGACTATACACTTGACTGGTGAGATAAATGATAGCCCGTGTTTAAATCGCCCAGCGCCATCTACATTTCTTTATTGCTACTAATGATAGTCTTAAACATTCCGCCCACCAAGGACATTTAATGACGGAAATGGCCTTAAAAATACAATACCGCCCACCGTGGCAGAATGACAAAATTGGTCTTGACATACTGAACTTAAACTTAAAAATAACATTTGAATTAAAACTTAAATGATAACATATTTAAACCTTAACTTAGATAATAACTTAATTAAACTTAAATATTGTTAAACTGAAATTGTTGCAAAAAAGAACTATTTAACTTATACTTAATAACTTATTTTAAGAAATGCAATTTGTAAGGTTATTTTAAAATTATTTTAAAACACAAAGTACAAAGATTAATCCTGGTTAATTAATCTCTTACTGGTAAGACACATAGTTTTGAAGTTGGTCGCTTGATAAAAGATGACTTAGTACGTATTGTGACCACACGGGTAACATTATCGATCCCGGGATGCTTTTCAACTATTCTGCCCATTAACCAACGACTTGGCGGTAAGTTGTCTTCTTTTACTAAGACTACATCACCAATGTTCGGTTCTGGTTCCCGAGAGCTCCATTTGTATCTATTCATAAGGTTAGATAAGTACTCTTGAGACCAGCGCCGCCAAAAGTGCTGTAACATTTGTTGAATGAATTGCCACCTTTTTAATGAACTGATATTTGATTCTAAATAATCATTGAATTCGGGTACAGCTATTAGCGGTCCCCCAATTAGAAAGTGCCCTGGTGTTAAAGGAAGTGGGTCACTGGGATCTGAGCTGTCTACTGTAATGGGCCTAGAATTTAAACATGCTTCAATTTGACTGAGAAGTGTGCTCATTTCCTCGAACGTAAGTGTGGATTCACCTATTACGCGTTTCAAGTGTAACTTTGTCGACTTGACTCCAGCTTCCCACAGTCCACCAAAGTTGGGGGCGTGTGGCGGAATGAAATGCCACTCAGTCCCATGCGATTCTAAGTATGTAGCAAGACCTTCCTGGTTGGTCTTCAGTTGCTCTAGTTCTCTTGAAGCGCCTACAAACGTAGTCCCATTATCACTCCATATTTGTGTGCAGTGTCCACGTCTTGCTACGAAACGTCTGAACGCTGCTAGGAAGGCCTGGGTGCTCATGTCACTTACCGCTTCCAGATGTATTGCACGAGTGGACATACATATGAATAAGCATATGTAGCCTTTATGAGAATGGTGACCTCGTCCTTTAGTTGTCCTAATGTTTATGGGGCCAGCATAATCCACTCCACTGTGTAAGAATGCTCGAGCGGGTGTACAGCGAACGGCAGGGAGCGAACCCATAAACGGGTTTTGTACTTTGGCATTTTGTCTAACACATGTTACACATCTACGAACATGTTGTTTAGCCAAATTTTTTACACCAATAATCCAATACATGGTTCTCAGGTAATTCACCATTAACTGGACTCCTCCATGTAATGTATTCTGGTGTGCCTCTGATATAACTAATTTCGTGAAATATGCAGAATGTGGTAGTATTATCGGATACTTTGTTTGCGCTGGCAGTTGAGAGTTTTGTAGTCGTCCACTAACTCTCATTATGTCATTGTTATCAAGATACGGACACAATGATTTGAGCTTACTAGATTTAGATAATAAACCTTTCTCCTTAAGTTGTAAATATTCTTCACCAAATTCTTCCTTCTGTACTTTCTTAATGCAACACATTAGTGCATGGTCTATTTCAGTTTTAGTAAGATAAGATTTCCGCTCAGTACACTTATTCTTCCTATTAAATCGTCGGCAATAAGCTATTACTCTAAGCAGCCTTTGTAAGGAAGAAAACTTCTGAAATATTGCATCATCGGAAATGACATTAATATGTGATTTGATGGCTTCTTCTAAATTGATCTTTAAATTCATGGGTCTCTTGTAAGGAATGTTTTCTGTTTTCTCTCGAAGAAAATTTGGACCGAAAAACCAAAGTGCGTTGCCTGCAAGTGCTTCTGGCTGGACACCTCGTGACGCACAGTCAGCAGGATTTTCTTTGGTCGAAACATGGTACCATTGCGAAGAGTTCAGGCTTGTTAAAATCTCTGACACTCGGTTGGCCACGAAAGTCTTCCACCTACTGGGATGGCTGTTAAGCCAAGCGAGCACGACAGTTGAATCTGTCCAAGCTTTAATATTCCTCTTATTAATGTTTAAAACTTCTGCGACCTCCGTCAAAAGTTGTGTTAATAATACAGCTCCACATAATTCTAGACGTGGTATACTGATCTGCTTTATTGGGGCAACTCTAGTTTTTGCTGTCAATAAAGAAACTTTCGTATTGCCATCGCAGTCAACGACTCTTAAATAAACGACTGCTGCATATGCTGATTTAGATGCGTCGCAGAAGCCATGCAATTCAGTGTTGGTGTCCGTCGTGGAAGTGCCTAACCATCGTGGGACTCTTACGGAAGTGAGTTGTGGTAACTCATTACGGTAAGTATTCCAATCTTGTAATAAATCAGCTGGAATTAGTTCATCCCAACTTGTTCCTGCTAGCCATAACCTTTGAATCAACATCTTTGCTAAAATAATGCTTGGCGCGATCCATCCTAAAGGATCGTATAGTCGTGCTATAATTGATAATATTGTTCTTTTTGTTTCAGGTCCAGTCGTCGTCTTCGGAAGATTCACTGAATAACGAAAATGATCTTCACGTCGGTCCCAGCTAATACCTAAAATCTTTGTTGTGTTCTCTGTTTTGACCTCTATTTCTTTGTTGTCCTTCAAGCTTTCAGTTTCCTTTAGTTTTAGTATATTTTGTATGTCCTGTATGTTGCCTTCCTGCATTTCCCTTCTCTGTTTGTACTCCTTCAACATGTCCTTATTAGGTGTGTCTTCTTCATTCATGTCTGCTAGCTTTTCATTTATGCTTATTTGTGATAATAGTTCCTCATTGTTGCTGTTCCATTTTTGTAGCTTAAATCCACCTCTAGCCAATAGGTCCGTCATTTGCTTATAAACTTCCAGTCCTTCCTTGACGTCGCAACATCCTGTCATTAGGTCATCCATGTAGAATGCCTGTAATACCCTTGGTGCTGCCAATGGGAAATTCTTGCCCTCATCCAAGCTGATTTGGTTCAATACTCTAACGGCTAAATAAGGGGCGGATGCAATTCCAAAAGTCACAGTCAAGAGCTCAAAATCTTCTATTTCACTTTCAGGGTTTTCACGCCACACAATACGTTGAAATTTTGTGTTGTCTTCAGCTACTCTGACCTGCCGATACATTTTAATAACGTCAGCTACCAGCACAATCGGATCAATTCTCCAACGCATTACTAAGTGACGCAAATCTGCCTGTAGTCTGGGTCCTATCATCAAAGTTTCGTTAAGCGAAACACCATAATTATTTTTACTTGATGCATTAAAAACGACTCTAACTTTCGTAGTTGTTTTGTCCTTTCTAACGACTGCATGGTGGGGTAAGTAAACAGCTTCATTAATTTCATTATTATCTTTTCTTAAACGTCTCATATGACCTAATTGTAAATACTCATTTATGACCTCCGTGTAGTTCTTTTTTAGTTCTAAATCCTTTGATAGCCTTTTCTCTAATGCCTTAAATTTTGTTACAGCTATTTGTCTCGAGCCACCACCCAAACAACGCGGTTGGTTGTCCCGAAATGGCAGTTTCACTATGTAGCGGCCTTCGGTTGTTCGTTTTGTTGTACTTGTAAATATTTCTTCACATTTTTGCTCTTCTTCTGACCACATACTTTTTGTACTTCTTGGTTGTTCTTCTAATTCCCAAAACTGTTTTAAAATATCATGTTCGTTTATTTGTGCATGCATTACCGATATTTTATTATTATCTTTGTCAATCTCACTGCTCTCATTGACTATACCAGACACGATCCAACCTAGAGTGGTATTTTGGGCAATTAAAGATCCGTTGGGACTTCTTTTCACACCATCCATCAGAATTTGGCTGAACACATTCGCTCCTAAAAGCATATCAATTTTGTTAGACACATTAAACTTAGGATCTGCCAGGCATAACTCTTGTAAGCCTATCCAGTCAATGGATTCAATTTTTTGTTCTGGAAGATAAGATGTTATGTTCTTTAGAACATACGCTTTGACCTGGATTTTATAATTACTATCAATCCGAGACTTAAGATTAATAGTAACAACATATTTTGCCGTTAAAGCTTTATCTTCTCCTAGGCCAGTAATTGTTGCTCTGATAGGACTCTTTTTGAGTTGTAAAAGTTGAGCTGCGGCTTCTGTTATGAAACAAGCCTGAGAGCCCTGGTCTAAAAGAGCTCGTACTATTTGGTTTCCACCAGATTTAGACTCTGCATTTACTAGCGCAGTAGCAAGTAAAACCTGTCCGTACCCTGATATTTTACGCATCGACAGACACGAGACTATCGCAGAGTTCTTAGCTTCTGAGCTAGTACACACAACTGACTCTTTGATAGCAGCACCCATATCTGCCTTCTCTTCTTCTGGATGTAAGAGTGAATGATGGCGTCTTTTACAAATCCTGCAAGTCGTAGGCTTATTGCACTCGTACACAGTATGATTCCTACCCAAGCAATTAAAGCAGATGGAATTTTTGGCTACGAAGTCACGTCTTTGTGCACACTTTAATTTTGCAAATTTTTTGCAAAAGCATAATTTATGGTGATCTGAGCAAAACTCACAGCGCATTGAAACATTTGTGGCCAATAATGCTTTAGGTTTTGTACTCGGATTGTTATTGTATTGTCCTGTATTGGCCTTTTTTGTATCTGTGAACTCTAATGCACGGAACCGGCTTTCCATAAAACACTTAAGTTGTTCTAAAGTTGGCAAATCATTTAAATCGGAAAAACTAGAAATATGTAGCTCCCACTGTTTACGCGTTTCCGCATCCAATTTAAAGGTAACAATATGTATAACGATAATATCCCATGTGCTCACATCTACGTTAATGTTTTCTAAAGCGTTCATACAATCCATGGTTGTGTCCAATAACTCTTTTATACCTGACGCGGATTCTACATATAGCCGTTTCTGCCCAAACAAACGTTTTAATATACAGTTTGCTAAATATTTTTTATTGTTATAACGTTTTTCTAACAGTGACCAACATGTAATATAATTTGCATCTGTTATTGGTGTGTGTCTTATTAATTGAGCAGCTTCACCCGTTAAATGAGTCTTTAAATAGTGTAACTTCTGAACATTCTTGAGCAAATCATTATTATGTACCAATGAAACGAATAAATCGCGAAATGTCGTCCATTCTGAATAATTTCCGGAAAAATCAGGAATAGTTATTTTTGGCAATCTCACTAACGGGCTAGGCTTCTCATCACTATTAACATTTTTATCGTTCGATTCATTTTCGGATAACAAAAATTGACTTAAAACATTTTTCATTAAAGATTTATACACTAAATAATTGTCCTCAGTTATTTCGTAAATTTCTTTACTTACATACGTTGTACTATCTAATTGTCCTTGTTTTGTTATTTCAAATAATTTTGTATTATTTGATCTAAACAATAACCAATCTCTTTCTAAATTTTCTAATCTTGCTTCTACATATTCTTTTGTTAATCTTTCTTTTGGACTTTTTTTGAAGTTTGACAAGCCCTTTTTGATTGAATTATGTAAATCTAATTGAACATTTATCAGACCTTCCATTTTATTGGCCTATAAAATTTTAATCTTCCTTACAACCTCGGAAATAAAACTCCAAAATTTTTAAGAAAATTTTACAAGTGTTTATAAACTTAAATAAATTGAGTAAAAATTAGTCACAGATTCCTCGTTCCCTCGTTTTTTGCCAAACTATTCTAAGTCCTTACTACTAACATACAAAATATTCTAAGTTAATATCAGAAATCACTAAAATATTACAAGTCTACAGGTAAATCAAATGTTCTAATCATATAAATCTTGATTTTGACACAAGTTTAATACACTGAAGTTCAATTTCGCTTGAAAAGTTTAGAAAAATATTGTACTCACAGTTTGCACTTCACAATCACCTTGTTGTTTCACTATTTACGCTGGCGATGATATCTGAAGCTGTTGCATCTTCCTTTGTCCTTTGGTTTTTGGCAGCCGGCACCAACCACTTGTAGCAGCACCTCCGCAGTTCACACTAAGTTTGCACTAATGGCACCATACAGGGCGCCTCTAGCGCCACGGCTTAACCGCGTACTCGGTTTGCGCAGCGATCCACTGCGAGTACGCGGGAGTGGTCCTTAGATAAGAACCACAACGTCGTCAAAAAATTCGAGCTAATCCGACTCGATGTAGACCAAATGTTTAATGGTGGTCTTGCTGAA